CTGGACCTTCTTTATTGACGTGACATTGTGCGTGTTAGGTATAATCTACTTTCAAGTAGCCACAAGCAACACCCATGTCCATGTAATCTCAGCTACTATTTGGCCATCATGTGTCTTGCTCCTTGTCAGCAAGGACAGAAAACTGTAATTTTATGCAAAAGCAACAGAAAATGTGCTGGCTGCATGAAAACTCGCAAGATAATGTGCACAACAATTTTTTGGACATTTTCTTTTTGGGGTTTTTCATTTTTATGCATTTCAGAGATTAAGCTGGCAGCAGCAAACAAAAAATATTATGATTCCACACAAAAGTGAAAACTAAGACCAAAGAGAAAGAGAGAGAGAGAGAGGGAGACAGAGAGAGAATTTACAGCAACTGAAATCTTAACTAAACATTAATCTGCATAAAACATAAAAGCCATAAAGTTAATTAACTATTTAAAGTTCTGTGTTAAAAAAATCAACAAGAAACACATAAATCTCTAACTCAAGCCCATCCATTAAGAAAAAAGCCTTTAGACTTTTACTTTTCATCGATTGCCTATTAAATTAACATTCACTTGTTGCCCATCATAAGTTTGTCCCTCAGTTTGTTGGCTATAAAAACTCAAAATGCATTTCGGAAACAGCCTCAGTTGATATTTTGAAAATGCAGTTGACAGTCGTAGTGCTACTTTGTTTTGGTATGTTAAGAGTGACTTAAGTTCACAACATAATATATATATTGGAAAAGAGGATCTATAGGATATATAGTCTGATCAGATGACAGTTCCTTAAAAGTCAATTGGAGCTAAAGGCAATCAACAAATATCGTTTATAAACTACTTTTGCATTCTGTAAATTGTTTAAGATTGTTGTGTCTTATATCCGGCCGTCCGTTCGTCTGTCCATTTAAACACTAACCATCATGCCGTTATTGCAGATTCGCTTGATAAAGTGTAAAGATTTCCCCATAATGTTAAGGTAGGGAATTACAATATCTGGTTTAACAGAAACGATATAGACTTAAAAGTCAAGCTGGAATAGTGAATAATGGATTGAAAATTTAAAAAACTATGTCTTCAAAAACATTGGAGCTAGGGAAACAAAGCTGGGCAGGAAAGTTATTAAAATCTCCCTCAAGATTTACTAGTTGTGGAAAATTGTTTTATTTTATTGTAAAAAAAAAATATTATTGTGCATGCCGAAATAACATTTTCAACGGGTTTTATTATCCCTGAACCCATTTGAGTTCAGGATATCATAGTTTTATTTTATACTCAAATAAATGTATTTTTATTAGATTTAGAGGGAAGAATTAGAGATATTTATTGATTATTATTGATTTTCTGTAAAGTGTCGATTGTTAAAATCAGTTTAGATATTTGCAGGCTGATAAACTCATCTCCAACTGAGTTCAACAATGCTCCAGATATAATGACGCTAGATTATTCAGATAAACTTTGGAAAGAGTGAAAATAAATTTTAATAAATTTTAAAGATTATATATTATACTATAATGTTATGAAATAATACAGAAAAGAATATTTTTAAAGAACATTCTTAAAAGCTAATTAATTTTATGAAATTTGTTTATCATATCTGACTGTTAATCATGATCCCGCTCCTGCTGAATTTACATCTCAGTTGATTATTAAATTTAAAAAACCTTGTCACAGAAAAGGTATTTGTAAAATGAATATTGAATATTTTTTGATTTAAACGCCTTAGTTCTCTCGCTAAGCGCACTGGAGGCGCGACCTTGGACTCCCACTGATCCAGTGCAGCCGTCTTTATATCAACTCCACAAGAATCAGAAGCAACGCAACTTGGGACCCGTGAGACCCAGGCAGGCGACATCTCTGGAAGCGGATGACGAGGGCGATGACTACTACGGCGATGACTACGAGACTGGCAATGGAAATGCGCCCGTAGAATACACGGAATCTGAGGAGGTCGATGATGATTACGGCTGGCGTTGATTGCAGAAATATATGTAAATATATACATATGTATATGTATATGTATATGTGTTTATATGCACTTCAGTAAATATTTATGCACATACAAATGGTAGCATTTATTTAACTGCAACTCGGCTGGGTAATTAAATTTATTTGGAATTCAACTTGTCGCATTGCTTGGCTGCTGCGCATTCATTGAAAAATCCGCAACTAATTAGGACACGAAGCGGCAGGAAGTACACGTAGACATAGATGAGAATGTGTCTTCCTGTGCTGTTGTCGCCTCCCTCCCTCTCTCTCTCTCTCTCTCTTTCTCTCTCATTGCCCAACTGTCGCACTGCCTCTGCTCGCTGGCAGGCCAGAGATAAGCAACTCGAGTGTCGTCTGCCGCATTTGCTGGGCCAGACAGACAGACAGAGAGACAGACGGACAGCCAGGCAGACAAGCAGCCAGTAGCATGCAAAAATAAATAGACTCAGACACAAGCAAAGAGACTTTAAAGAGCTGAGAATATACCGTTGAATTTACCCACACCTTGCATACGGAAGCCATTATTATTTATAGTATATATTTGCAAACATGATTTACAGTTTTTGCATTTTTTATAGCAGTAAAACATTAGGCGAATGATTTTTGAGTTTTCGCAACGCTTTAAATCAGAGAATGACTTTTGATAAAATGGAGAAATATTTTATTATTAATAAGGATTATATTAATATATTAATTGAATGAGAGTCAGTAACTCAATGAGAGTCAGTGAGTGAGAGAGCCAGAGAGAGAGAGAGAGAGAGAGAAGGAAAGATCATGGTTTGTTTCAAACCAAATTGTGTTATTTAAAATAAAAGTACAGTGAAAAGCCTTGTAGATAGCTGCAAATATACATATTCAATGCTGATTTCTCTTAGCTTTCTCAAAGGTAGAGAAATATAACTCAGGGGCCCGAAGAATATATCGCATCAAGATCAGCTAATGTAATGTAATGAATACCAATATATATACATATATGTATATTTGGCTGACGATATTAGCATAATTAGCAAAATATAGTACATATATCAAATTGCAGCTGTGTTTATAGACATAATTAACAGCCTGGCCTTAATTTAATACAAATTGTGCAGTTGATATATGCATACTCGATTCATCTCGGACATATTTGGAGCATGTCTGGCAAGAACATGATGCCAACTTTCACTGACTGAATTGTTAAATATTTATGCTAAATGACGACACAACCGCAGGCAATTAGAGCTGTCAACGCGGTCAAATGGAGTGACACATTGTTGTTGCGCCCATTTAGAGGGTCGTTGAGACTGAAGCGACGATGCGATACTTGCGAAAAGTATTGATTAGTATTTGAATAATAGATGCACTTGGGTATGGAGTGGGCGGCAATTTCATGGGGCGTTTTACTGGATATCCATTGATAAACTGTGCAGCGAATAAATGAAGCGCCTTGTTTGTTTATCGCCCAGTATCTCAAAGAAGCATCCTCCAGTTCAGGGCGGGGTTTGGTTCAGTGGAGGCATCGCCGGATAAACCACTCGAAAAATGCAGTCGAGCGTAAACTGTTGATGCCCTTAACACCAAGCCCTTCCTCGCCCTTCCCCTCTCTCTCTTTCACTCACTCTCTGCATAGCTGTGCTCGACTCGGTCCTTGCACAAAATTTACATTTAATGAGGTTTAAGTAAGTGTAAGGTGCGAAAAAGTCATTCGAAATGCTTCGTCAGGCTTTCAGCTTTAAGTGATATGCCCTGCTGGGCGTCGACAAATTGATATTAAATGCAAATTTTATGCCCAGTGTTGCGAAACGTATTCGAACTATTGCTGCACTCATATTGAATTCATTTGCTCATTGATTTAAGGGGAATGCGTTGAAGAGCTCTCTCTCTCGACGACGGCACTCGAAGCACACTGTTCTCCTATTACCGTTGCTTGAACCTAAAATTAAGGGATCCGAGCAAATAGGAAACTGACTAAGGAACCAATGATCCCAAGTCCACGTGTTGAAAAAGTTTGTACAATATGTTTTAGCTAAGTTGTATGATTAGTATTATCAATAATAATTATCTACAATAAATTAAAAATATTTACCAAATTTGAATTTTTATTGTTTATTATTAATTAGATTTTAATACATAAAAATTAAGAATATTTTTTTTTTCTTTGGTTACTTATACAATAAAGACAATGTGCTCCAATTTGAATTCACGTTTTAAAAAAATCGCTTTTCATTGCGAATTTCACTATAATCACACATTCTTCTCTTGATTTTCTTGAATTACACGATTTTTTAAATTTTATTTAGCTTTTTAGATACATCCGTTGGCATTCGATTGACTTGTGAATGAAATTTGTAATCTGTTTTACTTTCTTCATTCAAAGAGCGAGAGTTTGTGTCCTTTGTTTATCTTAGAAAAGAAATCATAGGTGAGTCAATACTTTACAATTGTAATTAGTAGTAGATTAGTAGCAGACATAAATTAGTAGTGGACTTAAATTAGTAGTAGAAATGCATTCGATTGGCTGTTAAGCTACTACTGAATCTTTATATTTTGATGTACTGTAAGCAGGTGAATAATATATAAATTCTCTGAATATAGCAAAAGATCTACATATAATTAGATTCTCAGTTATCTAATGGGAATACCAACCAAAAACCGCCAAAAGCTGTGGTAAAATTTTGCTTCAAAGTCGCGAGTTGAAACCGCATTTGAGCATTTCCACTAATTAAAGTGACACGAAAACCGCAATACACAAATACACACGTACACACACGCACACTCACACACTATACAAAACGACAAATAAATCAGCGTTTGCCGCAACGTAAAGCTGGCAAAGTTTTCCGGCGGGTAGAAAATGAGAAAATTTGTGTGCTTGGCAGGAGCTTGACGCCTGCAGCTCCTCCACTGGCTGCTGGAGTAGATTGAATTTGGGACAGGCCACGGTTTTGTGGTGACACCATTTGTCCAACTGCCACTGTCAGCGGGTAAAATCGTGTTGTTGGCTCTTTAATTACGCTTCAATGTCTGACTGTGTGCCATGCCACTCACCTGAGCATTTTTTTTTTTTTAGAGATCCAAGTGCTTGGAGGGGCCTTCCAAGCCAGCTGGCAGCTGATTTGGCAGCTGCAGCAGTCCGTTCAGTATCAGCGGCGCAGCACGTCGATCCTTGGCCGTGGCATGAGCTGAACTAGCGTTGCCCAGAGCGCCTCCGAGCCAACGCTTGTACGTGTGCTCCGGCGTGGTGTGCCAGTATTTGTGGAACGAGATGGGCGCATTGAGCTGCAGCAGCTCTGACGCATAGTCCTGCGGCCGTGCCTGATGCAGAGCGGGCACATGCGTGGCCGTCACGCCCAATGCCTGCAGACAGTAGCCCAATATCATGTCGTCTGGTGCACTTGCTGTCGGACAACTGCACCGCTGCACCACAAGTCGCAGCAGCGGCACGCTAAGCACTATGCCAGCGCCACCTGTGTGGTAATTGAAGCCATCCGGGGCATATAGTCGATAGCCATAGCGTTCCCCAAGATAAATATGATTGGTGTGATTGTAGCAGCCAAGCAGCTTGCTTAGCCGTGGTACGCTGCGTGCGAAATATTTTAGATAAGCATAAAAAGAATTTGTTGAAGAGAAAGCAATGATCATTTATTAAGAGAGGTGCGCAAGTAAAAGAGCAAAATTCCAATGTAGAGTAAGTCGCAAGAGTACAAATATTGTCAAACAATTTTTCAACTGTTAATGCTGTATAACATTAATTAGTGTGAGTGAGAGAGAGAGAGAGAGAGAGAGAGAGAGAGAGATTTGCTACTTGCACCATATTGCTTTTGATCCCTTTATTAGTAAATGTGCATGTGGCTGAGAATGTGAGCATAATACTATATATAGATGCTCTTATTAGTGTTAGTGTGTAACGATGTTTTAACGAAAGCTTAACGAAGGCTTGAAACCAATAGTATAATTTCAACTGTGCGCATTTGCATTGAGAGAGACTGAGCGAAAAGTTTTGGTTGTTTTAGTGTATTAGTGCAAGCGCTAACCTAACGTGCGGTGTTATGCTAGCTTAAAGCTTAATGGCAAAGAGATCTTTTCAAAAGAAGAGCAAAATAATAATTGAAGCCTGTCCAGGACACATCAGGCACGCTGCGTGTAAAAATAGTATATAGATATCAATAAAAATATAAATGAATTATAAAAAAAAAAAAATCACAAACCGGGGCAAGCAATGATAATTTTAATTGAATGTGCTTTGAGGCGTGTAAGCCGCAAAAAAATCATGGCGTACACATATGTATGTAGGCTCACTCACATACATACACTCTTGCAAAAGCAAGCTCTCTTAAATGCACACAGCTGAAGACTCACTCTCTCCCTCTTCCGCTCTCTCTCATGCACACACACACAGACATACCTTAGCAGCGTATCATCGTCGACAAGCATCAGCCAGCGTATATCCGTTAGCTCGTTGATATCCTTGAGGGATAATTGCAAAATTGCCAATGTTTTGGCACAATGTCCAGTCAGTACATTGGGTAGGCCAGTGTTGGTCGTAGGTATACCATCATCTGTTGCGGTTGCCAGTGGAGTCCAGTTGTGCAGTGTCGTAGCATAAAGGTGAAAGATCATAAAGACAAATCAATGAATATTCAATATGGCAGCTGCTGCTCTGCTGCTGCTACTGCAAACTGCTGTTACCGAACTGTTTGGCTCGCAGATGCATTTGTGTTTGTGTTTATGTGTGTGTGCTTGCTTCTGTCTGTTTAGTTTTCCCTCTGCTAATACCCTGTGTGCATAGAAAATGCATGGGGTATAATGACTTGGTGGGAGTGGAAGTAACAAGGAATAGCACTCGTAACTTAAATCAATTGTAGAGTTGATCTATCTGTTTATACTATTCAATGATTTGACAAAAAATAATTTGTTTTGTATATTAAATATTAAATAATTGAATAATTTTCATTACTATTATATTTCGAAGATTCATTTATATTTATTTCAGATTTAAAAACCCTGAACGGTAAAGCTTTGATAGTGTTTCATGAGAATTGAACGATATTATCGGATCAGATTGAAATACTATGAATACTCTTATAGTTACAGATACTATCGAATACATTGAACATTTTGTGCACCTCCAACCACTTAGCTTTAGAGTGAATTTGGAAAATATATTATGTAATCCTTTTTAAACCTTGCATATTAAGGGTCTCAAAAATACCTTGATTACAGAAGAGAATATTAATCTGTTTTCTACTATTTGTGCACTACAGGGTATTTCCTTAAACGACATTCCCGACTATGTCATCAAAATCTGTTAACTATTAAATACAGGGTATTCACTCGGCCCTGGAGTCTCTGTCTGCTTCATTTAGTTTTTGTTATCGTTAACAAGTATGCGTGTGTTTGCCCATTTGCCACGCCTCCCAAATTGTGAGGGCAGCAAGCAGCAGGAGCTGGTGCAGAAGCAGGCAGTCATTTGCTTTAATTGCGTTCATCGTTCTCATTCTCGTTGTTGTTGTCGCTTTACCTGCCACATCGCTGTAGTATTTGCGCCGGATGGCATCGGGCGCCCAGGTGCGTTCGATGATTGGTATACGCTCCTTATGGAATTTTGCACAGGTCTTGATTGCAAAATAGATGTGTGCGCCAGTTGTGTGCACCTGTTGTGGGTGAAAATGGTTTGGGCATCAGTTTTGAGTTCGAGTTTCTGTTTGTGTTTGTGTTTGACCGTTGTCACAGAATTTATGGTTATAGGTTTCAGATGCTAATTGCCTCAATGAACGAACCTCCCACATCAACATACCACACCGCCCACCCCACATACTCCTCACTGTTTGTCTTCATTTAACTACCAAGCATTATTCAACTAAGCCAGCATCAGGCAATGGTTTTAGTATCTGGTATTTATCATTTTTAATACGTTTAATAATTCAAATAATTTAATAGAAATCAAAATTGTTATTTATTCAAAGCAATTATGAATTTCAAGTCCGGGCCAACGATGCGAATGTGTAATATTTCTTTAAATTGAGAAATTCATTTCGTATGAATCAAATGAAATAAAATTGACAAATTATTTAATAACTACATTATTTATATTTACAGATATGTATTTTGCTTAAGATTTGCATGCATTTTAATTTGTTTATCAAAAATATGAAAATGTATTGATTGAAATCAGAGCTTTGCTGTTTGGACTTTTAGAACGTTTCTTTTTTTTTTTTTAATTTAAAAGTGCAACAGGCTTTCAAAAGTGCTATCAAAAGTGCATTCTTAAGAGAAAATTACATCCTTAAGAGAGAGATAGAAAATGAGTTCCCTGTCAAAAGACTTCAGCATTGTTAAAGGTCGTAGAATCTTAGATATTCAATTTGTCTACTATTGTGTCCTATGCTCTTCATTTATATATTGCATGACAGTGATTGCGCTGACTGAGAGTGGTAAAGGGCGAGAGAACATGCAAACAGTACTGCATGCATGCCCTAACGGTGATCTCTTTATATGTGTATGTACGTGGTGTCTAATGCTGAGCGCTAGTGAGCAACCGAGCGTATGCATTGTGTTTGTATGAGTGTATTGGTGAGTGTGCGAGAAGCTTAAAGACGTTCCACCAATAAGGTACTTTTATTGTAAACGCGTTCAAAGAGGGAGGATTAAGCGTCATAGTTGTCTTTGTATTAGTGTGTTCTTGCAAGCACTGTAAGGATCTTTTTTGCTTAAGAGACGCATATGCAGCTGAGTGCGCAACTACAGCCGCAGTAGTCTATGTCTAACGAAAGCAACGCTCAATAAAATGAGTTTGATTACCAGCGTCTACATTGCGAAAGGTTAAAGCGCTCGAGTTGCCCTACTTAAGTATGTAAATGTGCATAGGGCAGGCTCTCTTTTTTTTTGAGAGCGCGAGCTCTGCAGTATAAGTGTGAGTGTATTTGTAGATATGTAAAACTGACGGAGGTGTAAGCTTAACAGTGAATATTCTTTAGCATGTTACGCTCTGATTAAGGAGAGAAAAGAGCATTCGTGTATTATTGCAAATGTTGAGTCAGTGTAGGCGGAAGCATAAGAAGATCATTCAGTCTGTGCGTGCCTATCGTACAGATCGGACGCTGCTGCCGTGAATACAGCAAATAACATCATAATATACAAAAATTAAAGATGGATAGTGTGTGTTGATTTAATACAAAAATTGACTGCGTGAACTTTTCGCACATTAATTTGCATATATGCTAAAAAAATGTGCTTAAATTAGGGCAACACATTTATTACTGGAAATTCGAAAGATATAGAGAGAAAGAGGGAGCTTTGCAGCAATGCAGTTTTTTTTTTGTTTTTTTGTTTTTTGGCAGCATGCATGCACTATAAGCATGTATGTGTGTATGTGTGCATGCTTCTATGAAAACCTATTGTGCTATTAGGACATGACTTATCTTGGCCTTTAATCACATTTGCGGGTAGTTCTGCTGACCTTCACAGTTAGCTGACTGTTTCACAGCAGAGGCAATGCATACGACCATAGGTTCAATCTTAAATGCCTCCTGTTACTTGAATATAAACCGTAATTCAACTCACACAATGCACAGCACTCCCAGCGGCCATTTCCGGCTTGGCATGCAAGACACAGGACACAGGCGTTGACTCCTTTGCTGTTGCTGCTGCTGTCGTCTCTAAGGACGCCAAGGACCAGGCTGCCGACACTCTCGCCCAGGGACAAATGTAGTCAGCACTTTTCAAAATTATTTTGCGCTGCAACATGTCGACAAAGTCGTTGTCGTCTTTACTGATGCTGATGTTGCTATCGACGTTGTTACTTCCATTGCCGCTGCTGCTGCTGCTGCCGCTGCCATCACCGGCAGGTGCTATATTATCGAAAATGAATCGGGCCAACTCATGGGCCGCATCTATGGCAAATTCGCTGTGCCTTGTGGCATTTGGGGCATTTAGAGCAACAAGTTCGACGAGCCTGCAAATGCATGTTCCATTATGAGTTATGGCCAAACATGATGCTGCCTCCTTCATCTGAACTCACCTTCGCAGCAAAGCACCTGTAAAAACAACGCCGGCACTTAGCATGGGATATGGAAACCATGTTGGATCCTTGTAGTTGGCAAAGTGGTGCACAATCGTCGCCTCAGTGTCGTACAAGGCGTGTCCGTAATAAGCCAACTGGAATGGGAAGGATATTAAGAAGAACAGTTGATGCTGTCAAATTTTAATATAATGAATAATATTTCATTTAATATCTAAACTAATTTGCAAATTGTGAATATTCAACGCTTTTTAAATCATAATTTTCAGTAATTTTCAGCTTGCCAGCTTGAAAATAACTGCCGAAGTCAATATACATATGTGAATTTATTTGTTTAATGATAATAAATTATTATTTTAGTTACAGAGCATATATAATTATCTGTGATTGTTATTAGTTACTTGAGCACAGAATTGTTTATATAAGTTTATTGTTTCTGAATTAAAAATGAATCATTATTTTCGGTGCAGATTAAATATCTTTAGCAATTAATAATGCTATTAAAATTTTGAATATAGAATTTTTTATATAAATTTGATAGATATATGTTTTATAGATATGTAGTCCTATTTAAATAATTAATGAGGATTACGTATATTCAATTTTGGAATTGTTATAGGTTTACGTTGGTAGCGATATCTCTAACTTATACCGACAAAATCTACCAATTCTGAAGTTCATATAATTTTTTACAGCTGCAAATTATATTATAACTTCATTTTTTTTTATGGCTCTTAACATATCAAAGCAGTTTGCATTATGAGAATTATACGATTTAATTTTATGCTGTTAGTTAAACAACTTTATAAACATATAATAGAAAAAAAAGCTAAAAGTTTTTCTTAAAAATATTTCAACAAATATTTTTGTAACTTTTCATATAAATATTTTTAAGATTAAAAAAAATCTTATTTAACACTTTTTTGTGCACATTTTAAAATGTAATATTTGTTAATTTTTCTGTTCACCTCTTGCGCATCCCGCTGATGCAGTTGGTCGAGCAGGCCACGCAGCGAGGCGACGTGCGTGTTGTGCTGACACCAGATAATCCAATCGGTATTCGCGTTTAGCAGACGTGTCTTGCCTCTCAAATAGGGCAGCGCATCGAGCAGGGTCCAGTAATTGAATAGTTCATGCATTATGTGCACCTTAATGGCGTAATCGTAATCCTTGGGGATCTTGTCCGATATTTGTTGCTGCCGCAGATTATCGCGCCAGGTGCGACAGTGCTCTGCCGCCTGCCGTGGACACGAAATGAGCAAAAGAATTTCACTGCCATTGCAGAGGCGCACGAGACACGTTAAGAATAGTAAGATTTGCCAACTGGGCCCTAACTGCATTTTATGCATTTTATTTCGCTAACATGTTTGGTTAATAGGAAATCACTCTCAGGACTTTGCCGTCGCGTTGCCAATCGCTCGAGATTGGAGCTCCGCCGTGCTCCGACTGCGACTGCATTAATGAGCGTGCGAAAACGTACTGAAGCAACTGTGATTGAATTTCAACATTTTTGGCGCAAACGGCCAGAACATATTCGTTTGGTTAATGCCAATGCGCAGGCGCCAAAGTCCGGTCAAATTTCATGAATGAATTCTGTTCAGTGCGCAACAGTTGGCCAGCAATGGCCATGGCAATGAATTAATGTGTGTCGGTGTGTGTGAGTAATTGTAAAGGTGTGGCAAACCGGGTGCACCCTGTCTGGATGATACGCCCTGTGCTACTTGTTGGAATTGACTGAACAAATATGGGTCAGATAGCAGAGATAAAGGAAAGAGAAAGAATTAGAATTATATTCATGCCTTGCTAATGTGATTTTAATTTGATGGTTGAACTTCAGGTAAAGAGCAGGTGAGCCTCGTTATCGGAACTCCACCGTATATATTATATTTGTTATAGCAAACGCCGTCCATACGAACATAATCTATTGCGGAAATGCTGGGTAATAAAACTGTTTGATAAAGTTTAAATTGGTTTTATATCAAACACACGTGCATTTGCATATAAAGCAAAACACATTTTAATGACTCACAGTTGTTTATAAAACAATTGTAGGAGACTTGTAAAGCAAGATATCAAAACCGAAAACAGACTCTAAATATTTGTATATATCATTTGTGTTTGATCAGCTTTGTAATAGCTCCAATAATCATAATCAGTTGTAGCATATGTTTACATATTTATTTATTTTAGTTTTTCCGCTTATGCACATAATTTTTGGGATTAAATAATTCATAATTAGTGAATACATGAATGCCATGTACAATTAGTCGTTAATATAATAAATGGGAATACTAGTTAGTTAGAGCAGTTAGCTAGAGAAATACATGAATTCGTAGTCTAATGCATGGGCGAGGCCAGTCGTGTGGTCGTCTGCATATTGTTGCTGCGATTGTTGAGCTTCAGGCGCAGCTCATTCACGTGCTTGAAGAGCAGATCCTGTTTCGAGAGCAGCTCACGTGTGCGCTGGCAGCCATGCTGAGGCGTGCACAAGCCGGGATTCCAGCGGCAATAGAGACCCCTCCACAGGCGCACGGCACGCACGCTGGCAATGGGACGCAGCACGAGCTCGGCGCCATGGGTGAACGAGGGGAAGAGAGGGTTCAAATACTGATCCAGTGAGGAATTAATGTGTGTCCACAGTGAAATGGTCTTGTGCTTCAGATCTGCAATGGAGTTAATTATAGTAATTAGTTATGGCATATATATAGCATAGATATATAGCGAACTGCTTACCCTCTGCCACACGCTCCGCCTCGGTGTTGCACAGGAAGGTGCCAAAGCGGCACGAATACAGATGATCCACAATTGTGATGAGGAAATGCTCGTTGAATTCGAATGCGTTGGTAAACTGTTGACTCACTTGCCACACGCTATCAATGAACTGCAGAAAGACCGGCGAGCGATCAGCATCCGAGTGCTTGTTATCGCCGTGGCCGATGCGTTGCTGGAATTTATGACCGAACGACAGCCATTCCTTTTCGATAAGCACTTCGAAGCCGCGCACGGTGCGATAATGCGGATCCAGCAACAGCATCGACAATGCCGTCAGCTGTGCTGTGCGATCCCAGCCATCGGAGCAGTGTACCACCACGGATGTGCTCATCGTCTCCACCTTGTCGACGATGCGCACGGCTCCGGCCAGAACGCAGCGGACGTGCTTCAGCCACAATGTGCTATCGATGGCCGTCTGCCATTTGGAGTCATCGGTGGTTGGGTAGCACGCCTCCTTCACTTTGCGCAGGCTCTCGCGCATCACGTGAATGTTGTGTATATCGAGGAAATTGATTTCCACATTTTTATAGGCATCCTCCGATTCGTAGCCGCCGCCCTTTGCCTTGTTGGCAATGGCATTTGCACTGGGCCGAGCATCCATAATGGTCAATTTATCGGACTGCGCATTCGCTTCCATAATGTAGCTCAGATAAGTCTCATCATCGGCATTCCGTTTGCCACTGACACCGACCAGAGGTTGGGAGCAACGTGTTATGGTTGCCTGTGTGCGAGGATTCATCCATGATAGAACGGGCAAACGGCAACGCGAACGAAATTGTGCAACGCGACGCAGAAAATCATCAGAAGCTGCCTTTGGCACGGCCCACACAGCCGGATAGCTGTCGCAAATGCCGTAGAACTCGTTGATCTTTGTGACACGCCACATATCGTTGGGCACGCCCAGGCGACGCAGCTCGGCCAACGGCTCGTACACCGCCCAGCCATCCCAGCCGGCGCTCACAGCTGCATTTGCCGTCGACGGCTGAGCAGCTGCAGCGGCATGAGCAAACGCAAAGAGTTTGCCGCTGTAGGAGAGCGGAAATGCATTGGCCTGCAGCTTCTCGAACACTGTGCGACGCGAATGATTCTGCTGCTTGTGTGCGAAGCGTAAATTGCGCATATCTTTGCAGAAGATCTCAATGCCATAGCTATTCTCGCCTCGTGACGTGGCACCACCGATTTTTTCCACACGCGCAATCACGCCCAACGGCACGTCCACAACGACTGGGGGCTCCTGATCGCGCAATGGCAGCGAACGAAAGTATAGGCGATAATTGGTGATGGTTAGGGCACCGAAGACCGGACCGCGATATGGGCACACATAGGTGACATCGTTTTTTTGATCCTGATCCTCTTCGCCGTCCAAGTAGACAAAAGGCGTATCTCTTTGTTGGCCGTTTTCAGCGCCGTGCTTGGAGCCCAGCGAACTTGACTTTGAGCTGCTGTCCAGCGAGTTGCTGCTGGCCGTTTTCGATGCCAACTTGTCGGCTGAGCTTGATGTGGCATCCATTGCAGCGGAATGGTTAATTATCAACTGTTTCAGTTGTCTGATTGGACACTAAAGCGTAAACAAATTTTGCGTCGAGTGAATTATTCTTTATTTCTTTTGTTGTTCACAGTCAAGAATTATCGAACGACAATCAGAACAAGTTCCAATGGAACAGTTCACCAGGTGAACTGAGTTATTGACTCATGTTATCCATATAGTTAATCACATATATTTATTATATGTGCATGATAAAACATAATACTGCGATTGTGACAGGTTTCGCAAGCATTATAATTGTTTAATCAATAAACTATACTTTAGTACTTAGAAGCCTGGAATATAGTCATTGCACCACTCAGCACCGTTATTAGTTAACATTACATTCCTAAACTGTTACTTTACATAAAACTGACTTGAGCGCCAAATTTGAATAGCACAAACTAAGCTCTTGAGGGGCCCTGTCAATATAGTTTCAAACACTTTCTTTTTTTTTGTAATAAATTTTAATTTATATATATGGTACATATAAAAAACTCCTGAACGGAATTTTTGCCTTTACTAAATTGTTAGTTTTCTTTTCACAATATTATATAAATGTATGTACATATGTATGTGTTTTTGTTTTATGTTTCCTTGTATAATAATAGATTGTATATATTGTATTTAGTTTTACTTTAGTAAGATGTATTTCTTTCTTTTCATTTTTAAAAAGTATTTTTAACAAAAGTTAACAATTAAACCCATATTTTTGTTCAAATTAACTTAATTTTTTAGTTAGTATTTTTATAAATTTAGATTAGTTTCTTCTCTTTATTTGTGTGTTTTTTTTTAATGTCACATTTACGTACATTATTAAATACGCTAAACATCAACAGAAATCATTTAACTGACTAAAAACGAAATGAGCTTTCCAATTATTAAGTTCAATTAACTTGCTCCTTAAATGCTGAGCATAAAAATTAAATTGTGGAAATTATTAAAAACTAACACTAATCGATTTCATTTTGTTACTAAAGAGACTATTTACTTAAGGAGCAGATAATGCTAGAATTGGATATATTTTCTTTAAATATTATTTATCCTGCTTTGAATTATTCATTTCATATAGTCAAATGTATCCTGTTGACGTTAGTGTATTGTCTTAGCAGTTTTTATTTTACGAACATGTGTTTTTTTTTCTTTTGTTTAATTTTGCTAATACAGTTGAAGAAAATGAAGTTATAGTTTGCTATTGTTTTATATACTTAGAGACAAAGCGTTAGTTGCAGTTTTGGTTGTTGTTCAAATTAATAAAAACTTATTCATTAAACTAATAATATGTTAGCAAAACAGGCAGTTTGTGTGCTTTCAACATATCCGATGTATGTCTATAAGTACATAAGAACTTTACAAATATTATCATAGTGTGTGTATGTGTATATATGTGTGTGTTTGTGTAAATGTTAGTATGAATAAACAAAGTCACTAAATAACATAATTTCATTTATTTAGTTGCCTTCGTCTTTGTATAAACTAAATTAACAACATAAAATTAAGGAGTGGGAAAGTTTTGTTTTGAAAAACAATGGATATGCTTTGTGAATATATATGTCATATTTATAAATTTATGCCAAGACATTGGGATTGCAATTCGAGCTTCGAGTTTTGCCAATTACAATTGTTGCAAATTATTTATTAATATTAATTTGTAGCATGCCTAATTTGTATTTCGTATATTAGTTTTTATTCATTAATACAAAGGCTAAGTACTAGGTGTAGACTTATAGGGGTTCCTTGCCTTTAAAGCTTTTTTAACTATTTCGATTTTTCGGTTTTCCATATGTAAATAGTTAATAAATGTGGGCGCTTGCGACTTTTTACTTCAATCTTCTTCACCTTCTTCACTTTGCTCTATAATACTTTCTTTGTTAGTTACACGTATGCTTGATAATGTTAATTATACATTTATATAAATATAAATATATATATGTATAAGTGAGCTTTATATGTGTGTTGTATATTAAACTAGCCGTACTTGTTTTTTTTTTTTTTTTGTATACACATATAAATTTTTTATATATAGTATATATATATGCAGCTGTTTACTATATATGCCTGATTGTTGTGCATGTTGTTCTCTTCAGTTGAATTAAACTCAATCGGAGCGCCTTGCCTTTCCATAAAAGTTATATATAAAGTAAACTTAAAGCATGCCATAATGTCATATGTATAGCGTTATTATGTAAAAGTATTAAAAAAAATAAAATAAAAAACAAAATTGAGTTAAACAAAAAAAATAAAATAAACTGTACATAATGTCATTAAAATATTATATAACAATCAAGTTTGGTTACTAATTTGGTTCGAAGCACGCATCTCTGTAAATATATAATATATATATATATATATATATATATTTTTTTTTTTTATTCTGCAGCTAAAACAAAATACTGTTAGTCTATTGCAAGCCCAATTATACTAAAAATATGTAAATCATATATGTCACATTGTTAAAAAATTAAAGAAAATATTTATATATATCTACATATATATACATATGCATATATACATATCTAAATATATAATTAATTCATAAATGATTAGCTTCTAAAACTTGTACATGCCTACAGCTAGCAGGGCGCCCGTGCTAATTAGTCTACATACACGCTTCTTATGTACGTAGTACGTATTTCCTATATAGAGTATGTGCTATGTCTTGTATACATTGTCTTGTAATGGATTATATGACTATGTGTGTCCGGTTGTATATGTGTGGCTGTGAATTTATATATATATGTTTGTATATATAAATAGATTAGACGTGCATCATGCTGCGTATTGTTGTTGTTGTGTGGGGGGCCCAGTCAATATTTATTCTGAGCCTGGGAGTCTCTTGCGTTGCGTCTTTCTTGTTAGAATTTTGTGGCTTAGTTGTTTTTCGGTTTTCCCTTTTCTTCCCATACATTTTAGGAAATATTGGCGCTGTGCTTGGCTGTTGCGCTGCCCTTGGCTTGTTGCATTTCATTTTAGACTTGATTTACTCATCCACCGGTGTTGTAGGCGGACTATAACTGCATCAGGATGCGCTACGCTGTTCGCTATCCGGCCTGCGATCTGTGGCAATTTGTAGCAAGTTTCGGAACTCTGTATCGAGTATTTGGCGTGCCTAAATATAAATGATTTATATTAGAAAATAATACAACAAAGTTATATACATATATATATTGTAATATTCACCTGTGCATTTTGCGTGGGTATTTGCAAAGCTAGGCCCATGGCATTGGCATCGAAGCCCTCATCCAGCGCCATCAGACCACCATGGACGCCCGATTCGAGCAAGTTATTGGCATATTCCTAGCATGATAATAATCAAGCGACTCAGTTGTATATAGGCCAAAGTAAGAGTCTTTGATTTCAATACCCACCTTCAACCCTATGCTGCTCACCCATCGTATGACACGCTCATTGCTCCACACGAGCACATCGCACAGGCCATTCTCGCTCATCTTGCGCCTGTGCTCCAGCTCGGTGCGATCATAGTTCAAGCGCTTGAGCATTGAGATGCCATACTGCAGGCTGGTGCGATGAAAGCTATCAACCATTTTTAACTGGCCACGCAAATCTTTCTTGGTCAAATGATCCAGCATGCGTGCATCGACTAGACACTCCATAAAGGTTGTGCGATATTGAGGCAACCCCAGCCCGGGCAGCCAGTAGTTGCCAATCCACTCGTGATTCATGTCCCCTAAACAAAAATGAAGCGGTGTTTAGATATCTACCATAAGTCTATATGGATAAGTGCTTACCAAACGCCAGTGTAGTGCGTGATGTTTGCGGAGCTGAGGGTGAAGTTAGTGAAACCATTTCCTGTATGGCCAAACGTAGTTTGAGCCTGTGTAAGGGATTACTAATACCTACAAAGTGAAAGATTTGGATTTGATTTAATTTAGTTTTAGGTGAATTAACTTCATATTTAATGCCCTCACCTATTTCCCGCTGTATCTCCGTGTCGCTAAGTGCGCTCATAATAGCACCCGATTTGACATTGGCGCGACAGGCAGCCACATACCAGGCGGGCATGCCCACCCACAGCTCCAGCCAGGCGACAATGGTTGGTCCGTTCCACAGGGCGAATGGCGTGCCCGCTTTCATGGCCTCGCCCAGTAGATCGTTGCGGTAATCGTGATCTCTGCAAGACATATTAGTTAGTAAGGAATCATCCATATTCCTGAATCACTTTCGGCACTCACTTCTTTTGCCTGCCATAGTCGACGCTGCTGATCTTCGAGCCTGGCGCGCTGGCTATACGCGGCATCATGCCGCCCGTCATGCTCATGACATCGTAGTTGGAATCCACCTCGCTCAAGCCCATCGACAGATTGCCTATAGACATCATGCTGGGTGAACCATCTGGCAGCGTATCCTTGACGCCCTTCACCTTCTCCTTTTTGCTAAAGAAACGACCCAGCGAAGACTTAATGCCCTTCTTCTTTTGCACAGCAGCGGCGGCAGCTGCTTCCCTCGACACGCCCGACGTCGGCGTCTGCAGCATGGACATGGAACCCATTGTATTATAGTGACGCAGTGACTCTTGGCTGCCATAGCGCGAGCTGAGCGGCGACAGCCCATAGCCGTGCGAGGACAACGTCATGTGAGCATTCACATGCGGCGAGGCAGCGGGCACCATTGTGCGGCGACGCAGCTCCTCCTGGCTATGGGCGAGCGCCTGGGCGACGCGCTCCAAGCGCATCGAACGTGCCGTCAATGGAGAGGCAGCGCCGCCTGAACTCGAATCACCGGTGGTGGACATGCCGCCGTGCAGCTCCTCCCGCGATGCATCGCTGGACAGCACTGGCAAGTTAAGCTGGAAGGTAAAAAATTAGGATGAGACTCCCTTAATCCCTTACTTAGGCTAAACTCTTACCGTATGGTATTTCTGCATGAAATCGCGCTGTGGACTATTGGGCGTACTGCGTCCGCTCATGGGCGGACTTTGTCTGTCCATGGAACGGCCGCGTGCCAATAGATTCACATGCTCCAAACTGCCGACGCGCGACTCCAGCTCTTCGGCGCGCGCCTCTGTCGATTGTTTCTCCTCCTGGATGAGTCGAATCTCATTATTGATGGCATCCAGCTGCTCTTGCAGCATCATGGCCAGCGTTTGGGCATCTGTATGGCCGGAGGGCGACATCATATCCGTGGCTGCGGCATACATCGCATCGCTGTCATCGCAATCGCCCACACTGGCCGCCAGCTCGTACGCCTGCTGCTGGGCATGAGCCACCTGCTGCATTTGCAGCTTCTCCCACTCCTGCTCGGCCATCGATCGGGCAAGAGCATTCTCCTCGGACAGGCGCGATTTACTCGACCGCCGCAGCGAATGCGTCTCGAAGCTGGCATGGGATGTGCTGCGTGTGAAGGCGTTACCCCCACCATCCACCACACTGCTGGGCGAGAGGCTGCGAGTCAGTGCCTCCGTCTGCTGAATATTGTAGGCGATCTCCTGTTGGAGCAGTTGACGTTTGAAATTCTCGATTTCGAGACGCGTCTTGGACAGCTCCTTCATGATTTCGCTCTTCTCATGGTGCAGCTCCTCGGCCACCTTGCGCGCCTTCTCTAGCTCCTGCGTTAGCGCATTCTTCTCATCCAGCGCACGCATGCGCTCCTTCAGATGCACCTCCAGTCGCTCATTGGACTCGGACAGGAGCTTGTCCACCGTCGACGACAACCGCAAATTGTGCTCTTCATTCATTTTGAGACGCTGATTCAGTCTTACCACCTCGGCGTTCTTCTCATCCAAATTCGCTTCCAAGCCCCGTATGCGATCCTCCGCCGAGCCATGACGTTCTTGAGCCTGCAAAGCGTTCAGCCAAACACGTTTAATAATGCAAATTCAAGGGGTATCTCTCGTCATAAGGACAACAAATTAGTGTTTGTATTAGTAATGAAAGCTAAATGTGAGGAGTTTTCTTTTGTTCTTGTTTTTGTGAAGGGTATCAGTAGTCGGTGCGCTGAGTTCTTGTGCAGGGCAGAATAATAGAGAAAGAGTTGTATATATTCTTGGATATTGTTCTTGTTGTTGTTAGTTAGTGGATTTTTGGAAATAGAAAATCTATTCGAAAATATATATATATAGACTCAAATTACGATACATAAAAATTAAGAATAGATATACTATAAAAAAAGAATACAAAATTTAGTTGTATAATTGTTGATAATTGAGATTATACTTATGGAACCTGTCGGCGCGCATATTAGTTCGAGTGCATACCTTATTTCCTACCTTTGTCAATGCCTCCATGCGCGCCTTTAGCTGCTCCTCCATATCCGGCTGCAGTTTGGCATGTTGGGCTAGCTTTTGCTCTGAGAGTTCGAGTTTCTCTTCGATGGCGCTGATTTTCTCTTCGTGCAGCTGTCCATGGATGATTTTGTATGTTTTTGTTTTCGATATTTTGTGGGGTTGGGTGTAGTTTAATTAGTATGGTTTTTTTTTTTGGTTTTTGTTTTTTGTTTAAATGCAATATGGAGAGGGTACATCATATTATTAAGTATTAGTCACAGTTTTGTAGCGTTTAAGCAGGCATGGGCGAAAACAAGACACTGGCTTCAGAAGTTTTTGCTTGCATGAATATGTGATGCATTTTTTAGGAAAACTTCTTCAAAGGAAAAACTTAAACAAAAGAAAACTTAAACAAAAAAAAACTTTCGCTTCTATTATCAACAGTTGCTACTCTGCTATTAACATATTGCTGTAATAGTAAATTCTCATCGTGTTATTAACAGAAGTAATTAACAGAAAACAGCCAGATATGTAAGGCTAGTCATTCTAACAGCTTTTAACTATTTCAAAATTCTTTAAAAAAGTTTACAAAATAATAATGCAAAACTCATGATTATATTGACACTGTAGAATGATGTCATAAGCTTAATTATTTCCTCACTTCATAACGCTGTCCAAAATTGCTGAGATACATAATAATTAATAGCGGAAATAAGACATTATAAATACACATATATAGATAGGTAGGGTAGATTGCTTTGCAGTGCAGTGTTTTGATTAATTAATGAAATTCGCCCATGCCTCGAAACCATAACCAATTCCATGTATATATAGATTTCTGTCTATTTATATTTATACGCACCTTTAGCTGTGCCTCCTTGTGCCGCAGTTCCTGCTCCAGTTTCTCGTTCAGATCGTGCAGCGAGGTGGACTCCCGTTGAGCATTGAGATAACGTTTCTCCAGTGTAGCTATGCGCTCCTCCTGAAAGTGTTGCATATGTGATATATTTCTGGTATTTCTAATCAATTTTGCTACACTTTACCTGATCTTCCTTTTGTGCCACATTTTCGCGCAAATCTCGCTGGAGCTTCGAGCATTGATCCTGCGCCTTGCAATGCTCCTTTTGCACACGCGACAGATTCTCTTCCAGCTCATTAATCTTATTGTTCAGATCGGAGACGCGACGCTGCCATTGCGACAATTCAGAGGTCTATGAATAATGAGAGAAAGTTAAGGTTAAATCTAGTTCTTAAAGGTATATTAATATCATTATCGAATATATCTATGTGAATTGGAATTATATTATTCTCATGCTGAGCTGCTAATTATATTAAAATTTTAATTTTATAATTAGCAAATACTATTCGAATTTGTGTTCATTTCGCATAAGTTCCTTATCTCATGTACGGCCTTGATGATTTAATTATTTACGTAAGCTAAGATCAATGTTGATAATCAAACAACAGTCAATCGCATTATATTGCAACAACAATGAAAAACCTCAATTATGTTAAGCAGCAAATTCAAAGCACTTAAAATAAGGTTTATCGTCATTCGAAATAGTTGTTTGCTTTATCAACACATGGACACATCTCGCTCTGAGTCATCGCTTGTATAACAGCGTAGCTCGAGTTGTTGGCAATGATGTTATGTTGTTACCCCTGCCGCAGCCTGCTCACCTGCTTCTCGATGATCGTTTGTAGCTCGTGTGTTTTGGCCGCATATTCGTTTATTTCGCTCGCATCGCCATTGACCCCGCCGCCGTTGCCGCCAGCCAGCTGCAACAACAAAAGGTATAGAATGTAAAATACACGCTTGATTGAATAAACAAATATCACACACACACACGCGCGCGAACACACACCTTCTCTTTGATGCCATTTTCTCCGGTTGCTGCGTTTCCAGAGTTAATACCGCCACCGCTTTGCAACGCGCCAGTTTTATATTGGTTTAGCTCCTCTTTGGTTGTATTCAGCTCTTCCTCCAGCGCATTGTTCTTCTCGATGGACAGACGCAGACGTTCGCGCACTTTCTCGTCCAGAGCCTTGTGATGCTCGAACAGAGATTTGAGCGCTTTGAGCACCTCTACTTCGCTGGAGACGCCGCTCTGCGCGGCCGCCTGTCGCTTCACGACGGTCATGCGCAGCGATCGCTCATGACGCGACACCAAGCACTCCAAATGTTCCAGCAGCAGCTATAACAATATATACAGATTTAGTTGGATTTCTACCATATATAGCTCATGCCATGTGCAGCGTACCCGCGTATTGTTGCGCTCTGCTTTGAGCTCTCCGATTTCTTCATCACGTTCCAGCAGAGTTTCGCGCGCTTGCGTCAGCTCCTTGGTGAGCGTAGCGAACTCCTGGAAAACCGAAAGCCATAAAATTAAATTATCTTAATTGAGATTAAATATTTTTTCACTTACCTGCGGCAGATTGGCATTGATTTGACGCTGTAAACTGTCCCGCTCCTTTTCCACTTCGTGCAGCTTCACCTCCGTTTCGCCCAAACGCTCCTGCGCCTCGCGCAAACTATCCATTAGCTTGTCCCGCTCATCGAGCATGGACACCATCAGCTGCTCAAAGTTCGCATCTTCGCCGCTGAACTGCGAGGAGCGCTGCGATATGCTGTCTTCCGATATTGTGGGCATTACGTCGCACATCATGTTCCACATTATTTAGTTGGCCACCAGAGCACGGGCACGCATGTAAGACTGGAAAATAAATTAGTTTTAATTATAGAAATCACTTTCTTCATATGGAGTTGAATGAGAGTTAAGAGACGAATGACTTCAGCAGTTTTATATGCGAGGGTGGTCTTAAAAATTTGTATATTTGTATTTTAAATAAAAAATTATTTAGGCAGCCCTCGTAGAAACTAATTTAATCTTTTGAAATATTTAAAATCTAAAAACTGATTTTTATTGAAGAGACTATGTATAGAATAAACTAAGATTGATTAAACAGCCCTAGAGATATGAGTCTAATCTTGTTTGTTTAAAGATCTCGTATTTGATTACATTGACACTAATCAATCAATTTTATACTTTTATATTATTTATTCTGAAGAATTTTTTTTCATATAATTGTATGTATATATATATATACATCTATGTATATTTTTAATGTAGAATATTTTATTTATAACTCTGCTTACGCACGCAAGCTAAGAGTAAATGCAACATCTATATAAATATGCACACATCAAATTTAGAACATCAATATATTAAAGCTCTCTTTTAAAAATACGTCTAAACATTTAACCGGTTTAAGCCGGTATAACACAATTTTCCTATTACTAAAAATTAACGATTTCGAAAAACCCATATAAAAATGAAAGAAATTTAATTTAAAATAAAAAATAACTGTTAATATATGGTTTGCCTTAAATCGTTGGCTAGCCAATTAAAACGGTTAAATAGCCTACGCTTTTTGCCCACGCCTCTGAAGCTTTAATTTTTGTTTATGCTCAGTTTTCCGTCCCCTTCCAAAGTCGTTTACGCCCGTGTATTGGTTTAAAGACATTCCAATTGGACATGTCTAATAAGGTTTTTATCATAGGCGCCGCATTGATAACAAGTTTTTTTTACAGCAACACACGTACACTCACGTACGCTACGGACACACGCACACCCATACACATACACACACCGCTTATGTGTGTATATACATACACGCATGCCAGCACGCACACATATGTACAGCTTTTTCTTTTTTATATTATAATTTTTGTAATTTAAATTAATATTTCTCACATGCATTGAACACTATTTATAGCAAACACAAAAATTAAGAGTCGCGGGTTAACAGCTGCTGCACTTGGTCGTTTAATGATTGGTAAAACGCCTTTTCACAAGCATAGAGCGACGGCTTTTATGCAAAAAGAGCAAAAAAACTCCCTTCCTCCCTAGCACAAACACGTACCCCGTAGCCAACAAGGATCGTTCGCACGGCGACAGCGCAGCAGCAGCAACAACAACTTTTGTTGCTGTTTAGCTTTTGCATATATATCTATTTAATTGTTGCAATTGTAGCAAGTTTTATTTATTTCCGATTGATTTTTATGTGCGAAAAAAGGCAGCTCGTTTCTTTTTTGGTTGCCACTTAGGTAAAAATGTAAATGTTGCCATCTAGTTTCAATATTTTGTATATTTTTAGCACTCTGGCAGGCTAGTTTGTTTGAGAATATATCATTTATGCTATAATGTTTTATTTAATTTAAAACTATTTTAAAAGGGTATCAAACAAAATGACAATGTTACAATAATCGTAATACTGCTTAATTAATATATATTGTATATTATAATTGCATTACATGCCATATCGAATGTAACGGCTGACTATCGATAAATAACAGTAACAGCAACATTGCTCTGTTATTGTAACATTGCTCACAGTTCTTTTTTTTTTTTTAGCAACATCACTCACAGTTTTAGCCGCATTGCCTACAGTTTTTACACACAGAGCAAGCGCCCTCATTTATGTTTTATTTTTTAGTGTTATAATTAATAAAAATAAACAATTAGTATAGTATTAACGTGTTGCCATAGAAATCAATAGAGCGCCGCAGCTAACAAACAAAATGGGGTAAGTACGAAAAATATGTCTAATACAATTTCAAATGCTGTAATTTGTGTGAAAAATCGACGCCGACGTTTTCCTTGCTGATGCTATTGTTGTTGTTGTTCCTGCTGCTGCTGTTGTTTCTATCGCTGTTGTGGTTGCTGCTGCTCCTCTCGGATGAGGTGTAAATATATGCCATATATACAATGAGAATTGATGAAATATGTACGTAGGTGTAGGCTGGCAAACGCCGCCCGTCGATACCAATTATGCGCGTGTGAGTGTCTTTTGTATGTGTGTGTGTGTGTGTAGGTGTTGGTGTGCGTACGCGCATTTGTGTATGTGTGCGTTGTGTATGTGTGCAGTAAACTTGAGCAAAATCAAAACGAGGCTACAAAACACTTAAGCGCATAATGCAATTTAGTCACCAAGGCAAGAGTCGACACCCCGTAGCCTACCTCTCTCCCCATAACCGTAACCCCTGCCACCAGCACAACCTCCACCGCAACCATCAACCACCAATAAAAACAACAATGCCAATGACATGGTGCCGACAATATCAATAAGAATTACAACAACAACAACAACAACAACAACATCAGCAATAATACCCAGCACCTATGTATGTTCTTTTGTAGCTTTTGAACTGAGTGCAAGATTTGTTGTTGCTGCTGCTGCCAGATATATGTTTCAGATATATGTATATACTAAAATTATAAATGTTTACGCCGCCGTTCTATCTAAATATTCAATTTGTTATCTAGAGCTTCGGTATTATGTGATGTCTGAAATGTTTGGAATTTGATTGAGCACTCTAAAAAAAAGTTACAGTGAACTATGTCTTTGAGTGAACAGGCGGAATCGAATGGTTTATCCTTTACAGTGAACTTTGCGTGTGTTGAACAATTAAAAAAAGATGCCAGTGTTTATTGAATATTTTAACCATATCGTAAACTATGGATATGCTGAGCAGGCGGAAATTAGATTTAATTAAGTAGAGGAAAATACAGTAAACCGTGCTTATATTGAACAATCCCACAAAGGTTATCGAACAAATAATGACTTGATTAGGACTATGAAAATACAGTGAACTAAGCTTATATTGAACAGTCTTCAAATTTAAATATATACAGTAAGCCATGGATAAGCTGAACATTGAGTTAGTCAAATATATACATAATTATAAAATGCAATAAAATATTTTGAATCAAAATGACAATATGTAAACAACTTCAATTGAAAAACACTCATTTTTGGTTAATTAACAATTTACATAATTAATATTATTACAAAATATTACTTTTAAAATAAAATAAATGATATGATTAGTTTGCCTATTTTGCAAATATTTTAACGAAACCATTTATCATAAAATAATTTTATATTTATATAATTAATAAATAAAACATACGCTCAATTTATATCAAGGCTAAATATTTCTGTTAATGTAAGGAATTAATTTTTGTTGCATTTCTTGTACATATTTATTTAGGTTTATTTTTTGTTAATTTTAAAACTTGATTCAACAATAGTTTAAAAAATAAATAAATAAATATGTTTTTAAAAATATATTTTAATGATTTAATTTGATTTGATGATAATAGTTTATTATTGCTATTATGTATGTCTACATCAGTCATGTCAATAGAATTTAATTTCAGTTATTGCAAGTTGAGCAACATATTGAGGGTTCACTGTATCGATTGCTAGTTTGTTTGCATTTCCTCTATATCAATTAGCAGCCCGCACAGCCATATAAAGATCTAAATATACCGTTAGCAACTTGGTCACATATTGTATTTATTGTACGACAACCGACTTCCTCCTCCCTTCTCCCACTGTCCCTTAGCAAGCGTGTACAAATTAAATATTAAGCCGACGTGCAAGAATTTAAATGGAATTTTTAATTAATCACCTGTGGGTGCTGCCGCTGCTGCTGCTGCTGCTTCCATCTCCTTTACTCCTTTCATCTGTCTATCTCGCACAAACAGAGAGCAACCGATTTTCACTTGCCAGGCGCACGTGTTCCATATTGATCCAAAGACGAAACGCACATGGATCACGGCCAGCATGAAGGCGGTCAATGTGAGCTTCTTCTACGACATCTCACGGAATTTATACCGCATCATTAGCGTCGAGGGCACCAAGGCGGTCATCAATTCAACAATAACGCCCAGCATGACATTCACACAAACATCCCAAAAGTTTGGACAATGGAGCGATGTACGCGCCAATACGGTTTACGGCCTGGGCTTCTCCTCGGAGGCCGAACTGACAAAGGTCTGTCTGTCTATCTTAGTGTACTATCCCCCTTCATCAATGATCCTATCATCATTTTTGTCCTTTCCTTAGTTTGTGGAAAAATTCCAGGAGGTTAAGGAGGCCACCAAGAATGCCATGAAATCTGCGAATGGATCGAACGCAGTGACGCCCACCACCTCGGCGAATACATCTCCGATATCAGGACGCGCTGTAGGCGCCATGCAGAATGACAACACCAACATCGATCCTCACACCGTGGAACCGCCGAATTTAAGTAATACCAATACACAGAATGCCAATCCCGATAGTCCCTCGCATAAGCTGCTGAACACTAGCGACGGCAAGCAGGACATTGGATCGGCAACGCCTTCGCCACAGCCAACGATGGGTATGGTTGCTGGCACAGCGACCCTTGCTGGCAGTGGTACTGGCGGAGGCGGTGGTGGCGGTGGTGGTGGTATTACAATCTCTTCTGGTGGCAGCATTGTGGGCATGCACACTGGACCTGGAGCGGGCGCAACGGCCGAGCAGCAGCTGAAATATGAGAACGAACGCCTGAAAATGGCACTGGCGCAGAGGTAGGAGACAGAGAGACAGATGCATATATGCAGTGGTTATCCAGCTTCTAATATAATCGTAAAATGTATTCCAAACAGTTGCGCCAATGCCAAGAAGTGGGAAATTGAATTGGCCACCTTGAAGAACAATAACATACGCCTGACCAGCGCCTTGCAGGTGTGTATTACATTTACAATTTTATTCTGCCGGAATGTGTTGTAAAGCCGACACTCACAAATCCCACAGGAATCGACGGCTAATGTGGACGAATGGAAGCGCCAGCTGCACACCTACAAGGAGGAGAACATACGCCTCAAGCGTGAAATGGAACTGATGCGTGTTGGCGGTGCCGGCGGTGCTGCTGCTGGTGGCAGTGCCTCAGAGGATGAGCTGCGACGCGAGGTGGCTGCGTTGAAGGCGCGCACAGAGACGCTGCAGGCGGAACTGCTGCAACATGAAATAGAGCTTAAAACGGCCAATATGAGTTTACGTGAAAAGTGCAATGATCAAACTGTAATTGAACATATATTCTATAACTATATATATATATGTGCAGAGACTAATATAGCTAATTGCAGCTGGCAAAGATGAGTGAACTGAATGTGCTGTTCGCCAAGAGTCTGTCGGATCTGTATGCGGTGCAAAAGGATATGGAGAATGTTATACATCCTGCCAAGTGCACTTGAGACGCCGAGTTCCGTGCACACAGAAAGGTTGATTGCTTGAACTTTGTTTGTTTGCCAACTATAATGGGATTATATTAATGCAATTGTATTCAATTTAGGTTTCAGCGCAGGAACAGACTACAATGGCAACCACTATAACATCAGAAACAACAACGACAACAGCAACAACAACTAGCAAACGTTATTTAAGCAATTATCTAACGGCCGACGCCGAGAGCACGCTGTCCAATGTCACCTCCATACACACACAGCTGCAATCGTCGTCGCATTACGAAGCGCATAACATGGTCCAGCTGCAGGCGTTAGATAAGCACTCTTCGCTACTGCAGGAGCTGCATCAGCGTCAGCTGCAGGCCGCTGCCAATTCGCGACCCAACTCCGCTGTCACTGATGCAGCAGCCTCCAGTGGCGCTGCCGGCGGCACCAAAACTGCCACCATACTCGTTTCCAAATCAAAAACCAAAACTGGGCTGCCCCTGTTGCTGAAGAATTCCATTAACAATTAGGGAAAATGAGAAAGAAAAAAAAAAAAAAGAACGGAAAAGGAAAATTGAAACAGAAAATCAATAAGCAGACGCGACTCATTGCATTTTTGTAAACTTTGTATTTGGTAGTTTTGTATACGAAAGCAAAACGGAACAGAAACCACACTCTCAACTCAACTGAACTTAACTCAACTCAGAAAAAAGAAAAACACCCACACACTCACTGTAGGTTTATATGTATATGTATTTAATGTATCATTCGGTTTCCTCCCCAACCCAAAGTGAACAAATTGCCCAGTATTCCAGTATTCTTTTCAAAATTGTACGCATTTTGTCTGTGTCGTGGTAATTTTTATAGCATTTAAGTCGAAAACAAGTTTTTAAAATTCTCGAACGCATTCAAGTGCAATATAAAGGAACCTTAACAATTAATTGATATTATGTACTCCATATAGTTTTATTTATTTTTGCTAATTGTTAATTAATTTTTAATGAGAGCTTGACAATGAATCCAAAGTCCCGGAATCGAAAACCTCTGACGAACGATATACAAATTAATTTA